GCTGTGGAAATTGAAGACCAAAGTTACCTACATTACGTATAGGACTGAAGCTTCCTAAACTCTATATTTACTTTGAAATATCATGTGAATTGTAGAATTTATTACAAAAATCAATTAAACAAAGTACAGCATTAAATAAGCCAAATGTTTTCACAAAATAATTCAATGGTTATATAATAGCTTTATCCGCCAACATGAGTTTCTCCCAGCAAAATAAAGATGCAGTAAAAAAAAGTTTGCCAAAAACACAACAAGGGGATTGGACTATGAGCACATGATAAAAGCGAGAGCACACAAGGAAAGGGTAAGGATAGGTAAGACACCTAAAAAACTAGCTAGCATTTGTTGCCCTTAACGCAGAGAAACTAAAGCAGATACCTTAAAGCAACTGAGGCCAATAGGAAAAGGGGAACAGGTACTAGAGAAAAGGTTAGATCAAAAAGAATTAACCTAGAAGGTAACACCCACGCACAGGAAATCAATGTGAGTCAATGCCCTGTATAGCTATCCTTATCTCAACCAGCAAAAACCCTTGTTCCTTCCTATTATTGCTTATACTCTCTCTACAACAAAATTAGAAATAAGGGCAAAATAGTTTCTGCTGGGTATTGGGGGGGGAGGGAGGGGGCGGAGTGGGTGGTAAGGGAGGGGGTGGGGGCAGGGGGGAGAAATGAACCAAGCCTTGTATGCACATATGAATAATAAAAGAAAAATGAAAAAAAAATTTGCCAAATGCACTGTAATATACATTGTTTCTGTGGTGTAATTCATAGTAAAATCTTGAAAGCTTTTCTTTAAGATTAAGAAAAACTAATTCCGTCATGGATGCTGAAGGTCAGTGCACTCACTGGTCATTATACTTCAGAATTTTATTGACTAGCATGGTTCACTATAATAGTCCTTCATTAACCTTCTTTGCATAAATGCAAGCAGATCTCTTCATATTCTGATCAAGTAGAGGCCCACTGAGGATCACAGAGCACAAGCGCTACATTGAGACAGGAGGCAATGCAAGTGTGTATGGAAAATGATCCCCAACCTTAACTGCTTTAAAGCTCACAGAAGAGAGGTCATATGTATAAATAAGAGGAAAAGATGAGTAATATACAAGGCAATATAGCACGTGAACAGCAAAGGTAGTTAAGCCTCCTAAACAAGGTCAAAAGAGAGAGTGCGCCAAGTAGTATTCTCAAAGAGGATGAAGGTGGAACTTGACTTAGGTAAGACATAGAAAGAAATGAAAAACAGTGCCAGGTGGGGTGGGGTACGTCTGTAATCCCAGCACTCAGGAAGCTGAAGCAGGAGGATCTCAAGTTCTCAGCCAGACTGGGCTAAGAACCTGTCTCAAAAAAAAAAGGAAAACAAAACCAGACCAAATTAGCAAAATAGCACAAGTTAAAGCAGGCAAGCAAAAGGCACATTCAAAGAAAAGCAGCCAAATCAGACATTGAGGAGAATTTTAAGTATCAAAGTAAAAAAAAAAAAATAAGAGGAAAAGTGGGTTGAGGGAACAAGTTACAGAGCCTAACACACCATCTATCACAGTACATTACATGGATCAGACACCCAAGTTTTTAAAATAGAGTCTAAAAGCCTTGAATGATAGACAAATAAGTCTACCTCTTCAGTAATAAGCAGCAGGGAACCACAGAACTTTCTGGAAAAGAGAACAACTCATGTTAAGACTGAATTGGCAGCATTATAGAAGTGGGAAGGGAAAAACAAAAAATTGAGAGGAATTTAGGTCTGAGTGGAAAAAGCCAACAAAGTCGTGGACAGGAAATAGAAGTGAGCATTGATGGACTGGGACATAAAATGTGTGACAAAGAACGAACTTGCAAAACTTGGTAAATGGTTTTTCTTACTTCAGGTAGTAGAATTAATGAGCCTGGTATTATCCTGGAGTATTTGAGACTGATGACAAGGAAAACATTCAGAAAATACTTAAGGACACAGTAAGCCAGTCACTGAGTTGGATGGTATGGATACAATACTGATCAGACAATGAACAACCTCAGTGAGGCTCCAGATGAAAGGGCACAGGCACTACTCTCAGTCACAGGAGTATGAAAAATGGCATGAATGGGGAAAGTAAACTACAGGCGAAGAGTACATAGCAACTCTGATTATGAAAAGAAACTGACTTTGAGAAGGAAATCAAATGAAGATGGGCTGGGGAGCAGGAAATAGAAAAGTAGAAGCAAACACATACATAAAGTTCTTTTCTTAAATTACTCAGTTAAATACAAGGGACTCAAACGTAACTATCAGAAATCAATAAATGTGATCCCCAATTTAAGACTTGGCTGTACTCTAAGATTCTACTTTGAGTAATAATTTGATTATTTGAAACTGAAAAAAACATTTGATGAAATACACTGCAAGGCGAAATTGCATTCTTGAAACTTTACCCATCTATAAAAAAGGCACCAGGGCACTTTATGGGTGATGGAAATGGTCTGTTCCCATTGTAAGAGTAATTACATGGTTCTGCACACTCACCAAAACCAATAGAGGTGTACAGCTAAAATGGGTGGATTTTACTGTATGTAATCACACGTCAAAAAAATCTGACATTTAGGAAGAAAGGTCGCTATGACTTACTAATTGCCAAATTCAAAAGCAATTAGTCAAAAATGACTCAATAGTTCATGTTATATTAAAAACAAATTATATGGCAATTCCACATTTATTATCCATTTATAACCGCTCCCCCAGAAACTATACTTTCTTAATAAGTATGTAGTTTTATGATTTTTATTTGAATGGAACTCTAAGTATTTCACCCTGAATTCAAGAAATGAGTCTCAATGCTGAGGCTCAGTATCTTAACCTAAAGTCCAAATTCATAGCCTATCATTGTTTAACTGAATCAGCGCATTTAAAATCTAAGTCATTTGTCTTCTTACACAAGCTGTCCTTCAGAACCTCTCTTCTTCTGTCATCACCTGTATGTCAAGACTTGTTAGCTCTGATTGCTGCTACTTCTACCTCTTCCTCCCCACAGGCACCTGTTCACCTATCCTGGGAAATCTCACTCTTCCCTTAAAGGTTTCCATGCTAATCTCCGCCACTCTCATCTGTCCTACACATCAGTGTCAGACCAATCATGTCTTTGTTTAGTCATTAAGCTATACCCCTGCTCAAAAACATTTGCCTATTCTCACTAGCTTTAGGATAAAATGCAAATGTCTATGACTAGCTTTCAAATTCTTCATACTCAGGCCTAATACCTGTATATACATAACCTTATCTAGCTAACTGAAATGAACTGACTTTAAAACTAAAAAAGCAGAAGATACTGGGAGAGAGGGTAAGGATATAACAGGTCAAAAGTTTTAAAACTTAAAAAGAAGGCCAAGGCCTATTCTGGAGTAAGGAATGGGCCGATTTCACTGGTATATGGGGTGCTAACTGGAGGTAAGGCAGGAAGAATAGGCTAGGTCCACACGTGTAAGACTTACATGATAAGCTGAGGATTTTAGAGGGCAACAGGAGAAATCATCAGGATTTCTTAATCAGAGATTACATGATTACAAAGTGATGCTCAGGGAGAATAACTCAGGGCCTGGATGGAGTACAGGATGTGGTGGTGCAAGGGCCAAACAGAAGAGAAAGTCAAGTAATCTAGGCACAAAGAGATAGTCAGGAAACAAGGGGAAACTATTGATCCTCAGCTACTGATGATGTATGCCAGCCTCCCCAAACAACCCATCAGACAGTGGTAGGTATCCCACCCAGTGTGGGTACTTAGGGGGTAGAATAAGAGATGGTTATGAAATTCACCCACAAATTTCTGTTAATGATAATCAACCTGGAGAACATGGCATGGATAATTCAAAAATGTTCACAATACTTTTAAATCTTAATGAACATTTGTCAGAAAGACTGAATTACACTTGCTTACTTTGGTTATTAGCATTAATTATGTTACTAAAAAGACTACTGGCAAAACATTCAGAACTATACTAAAAACACTGCAGGCAGCTGGGGATGTAGCTCAGTAACAGAGCTTGCCTAGCATGCACTGGGTTCCATTTCCACAATGCCAAAAAAAAAAAGGTACAAGGAAGAGGATCTTAGATTAGACATTGCTCTGTTTTCTAAAAATGCAAAGATTTTGATTCTCAGTATTTGGTTTAGTACTATACAAATATTGTGTAAATTTTAGTAATAAATTACCAAATTACATGTAACAATTGAAATTAGATTGGAATTAGTGTTAGAAGTATGAAGGAAACACTAAGGTCTTAATTATAGCCTCTAGCAGTGACTTTCATGTAAGCATCATCTATTTCAATCTGCATTTAGTAGCTTGGGTTGAAATGAATCAGTTCATACCACTGTATGAATTACTTCCCATACCTGATGGGACACCTACCACCGTCTAATGAGTTATTCTGGAAGGCTGAGAATGAATAGCTTCCCCTTTTTTCCTATCACTTCCTGATTGATTATTTACAATGGTTGGTCTTCCTTTGCCTCACCATTTAAATGGTAAATACAGCTATTTTTTTACACAGTAGTGAATAAAATAAATTCAACATTCCTTAAAAATCAATTTTTGCTCAAGACTGAAAGAGGAAATCAATTCCTTTCAAAGAGGTGAGCTTTGTTTAATTTCTGACAAAATTCATCATTCATTTAGTTCAGCAGAGTTCCAGGAATCAGGGTGACTTAAAATGTATCACTGCACTAGCTTGATGGTTGAAACGGATTATCTGGGAAGTAACTGGTAGCAGTAATTCCCAATATACCAGATACCTATGAAAACCTGCTGCTATTAGTCTTCTGACAAACGACTTAATAGAGATGCCTAGTTATACTAGCAGAGAATAGAGAAAAGATATGACTTTAAAACAGTAATTTAAAAATAAGGCATTTTTTAGATACTGATGTGGAGGATTATGTAAGCACCAATTTAAAAACCTAATGCTTTCCATTACATTAAAGTCTGTATGGCCAAATAGCTCAGCTTGAAGTCTTTTTTGAGGGGAGGGAGGCAGCACTGGGGATTGATCTCAGGACCTCCTGCTTGCTAGGCAGGTGCTCTACCATCTGAGCCATGCCTCCAGCCCAGTAGCTCAGCTTTAATATTGAAATACCATCACTTAACAAAAAGATTAAGTTGCTGAGAATAAGTAATATATCAGTGTTTTCCATTTATCAAGTTGGTACTTTTAAATACTTTGTTAATTTACTGGTAGTTTACCCCAGGTTTGGTATTTGGTTTTGGTTTACTTACTGACTCAAAGGCTGATTCAACTTTTTGAATGGAAATACCAGCAGTTCCAATTGGATAGCCAAGGTCATTTCTGCTTTTACACCAGGCCCATCTGGCTGTCTACAGGATGGCAAAAACTGGAAGGTGATGAGTTAAGTTCCAGACATCCAAATTGGAGATATTTACACTCAGAATAAAAGGACCTTATCCTAAGTCGATCAAAGCAGTTAGTCACAGCAAAATATTTTAGGGGTAGAAGACAAAGTGCAGTCAATCACCAGTAGGTGCTAGGCATCCTCACTGAGCCATTTAACCACTTAGACTGGGCTAAAACCTGATATATCATGAACGTTTATCAACATGACAATTTTTGCTATGAGGTGATGGCTGGCATTTTCCAGTACAGCTAGCAATTTTGCAGTAATCCAAAATAATGGATGGATTTTGGAACTAAAAGAGGAAAGAATCTCTTTTTGGCTAAAAGATCTAATTATTATCTATAAAAGAAAATAAAGCCCCAAAGATCCTGAGGTAATATAAAATGGTGAAAGTGTATGGGTTGCATAGTCAAAAAGATACAATAGGATCTCCCAAAAAGTTCATGTTTTTGACCATGTGTTCACATGTCTAGGAATGTCATAGACAAAATAATTTAAAACAGTAAAATAAAAAGGAAAGTAATTATTATGATTGCTTCTCAATAGTAAACAATTAGTATTCATTTCTGTCCTGATTTCTTATACTTTATGGAATACTGAAATACAGAGTTTGAAAGGGCAGGGATTTAAACTTAGGATCTATAACCAAAACCCAGACTCTAGGTATCCTTATAATATGAGAAGTTTTCCAAAACTCTCAAAAGAATTGTTACTCAGAAAAAATGAAGCTTAGATCTCACTCCTAACAAAGAATCTCAAAATATAGGACACTCAATTTATTTTGAACAACAAAACACAATACTGTTACAAAAAGAATCTGGTAAGACAAAAGCAAGTTAGAGATGAAGAAAAGGTTAACACACCCCCCCTCTCCAAACAAGAAAGAGGAACTGCCTGAGGAATCGTGGTGATAGAAGAGGGACCAGGAACCAATGACTTTCCTTGCTTTTTTCCAGAATAAGTTTATACCAGGCAGCATAAACTTAATGGTAGAATCTGAACAAAAAGTCCTATCACATCACTCAAGATTCTGGTATTTTGGGTCATACAGGAGGTTAAGAGGAAAATGTCCTAAAGACATTTAACAGTGGTAATTCCTCACATAAGTTTAGGTACAGATTAGGTTAATCAGGATAACTCTCCTGACACCTACCTATTATATAATGGGAAAAGGCCAAGTAATAAGGAATGCCAGTCAGGAAGAAGGTGTGAGCCTAAACAGCCAGGAGACAGAGGACAGAGAAAAATAGTACCAAGAAGTATATATGAGGATGGGATAAAATGAAAAAATCAAAAACAAAAACTGAGAGGCACCAAATGTTAATTTTACTTTACAATATCAAATGTTAATTTCATTTTACAATATCATGAAGTCTAACCCTAAGCCCTACCTCTCTCTAGTGCCAGTGATATTGTAGCTTAAGTCTTATCCCAGGTATCCTATCCCAGGTATCCTACTTAATTCTGACCAAACTAGCCAGCTTCCTAGAATTAAGGAAAGGAATGGAAAAAATTTCCAGGACTATTTCACAGTGGGAAATCAGAGAAGTCAAAAAATTCACGTGACAATTTCAGGCTTTATAAAACTACCTACATATTCAATTTCCAGAAAACTTTGTAAGAATGTCACATCTCCCTTACTAGACTTTGTTTCCAAATACTAATTTAAAAAAAAAAAGTACAAGTAATTTTGTTTTAATCCATCTCAGTAAAGTCATTTGTATTTGTGTTATGTTTCTAAAAACATGTTTTAAAAAGTCAACTCCTAGTTCAAACATATATCCCAAATAAATTCAAATGGACATCTATTTTATAGTCTCCTCCCCCTCTAATTTGTACTAAGAAGGAACTAAATCCAATCATTTTTCTTTTCCCCATCAAATTTGGGAGGATCATCTGAAAACAAAAGAAAGAAAAAGAAAGGAAAGAAACCCAAAAAACAGATCCCCCTGCCCCAATATTTTTCGTTCACATATATTCCTCTTGAGCCTTCCTTCCAACCAAGATTTTTCTCTTCAGTCAAAGGCATGGAATTGCCTTCCAGTATAGACAGTACTTATTGATATAATGTGAAAAGTTTTATTTGGGATTGATAATAAGCCAATTTTAATCATCATAGCCTTCTACATAATTAATAATGTTTAATGGCCATGTATAGAACTACTTAAGTATCCTGGGGTTGTAAACTGTTTATAGAAATAAAAATTTTAATAGGTTAATCTCAGAAAAAGCTCTGAAGAAAGTAAATTTAGGACTGGATTTTGAAAATGTCAAACAAAATATTGGCTATAACAAAGTGATATGGTGAATGCTTCTAATGAGAAGTGCAACAGCTGATCTGGTGGTATCAAATGTTAGGGACTAAGCACAGCAAGGCAAAAGCACTATTGGATTCACTTCCTTAAAATCCAAATTCTCAGAAGGTAATACAAATGTTTTCCCAGAAAGCATAAAATAATATCAACAAAGACAATTAGTTTGATTTTTAAAGACAAACATGTCTCATTTTTGAACCAACTGTAATCAGCATTAACTTCCAGGCTTGATACTGACAACTGATAACCTAGATAGTTAATTCTATCAGAGAGAAAGAAAAAAAAAGCATGTTTTCACTCCTTAGAAAATAAGGTGCTCACACAACACAAATGAAAAATCTGTTTGCCCTTCATACTACTGGATTGACTGAATTCTGCAGCCTATGTTATATGTGTATGATTTTACCGCCAAGGCTGGAGTTTTGCCTAGATTAAATAAGCTTTTCTGCCTTTTTGAACTTCAGTTTTTATTACATTTTTAAACAAACATATGGCAAAAGATGATGAGAATTTTTTAAAAATTGGAACAGAAGTTGAAAGCTGAATTCCTTGAAAATATGGAACTTAAACAATTCCCTTTATTATCTATCTCTGAGCTTACCTGAGGCTTAGTGCATAGTAGGCATACAAGGAACATTTGCAACTCAACTCCAAAGGCCTTGCCAAGGGGATTAGTACTTGGAAGAATCCCAAGCTACTTTTCTGAACCAAATAACTGAAATGTTCTCAACTCTACAACATTGTAAAGTACTTTCCAGCAAGTTCTAAGTGTTGATGCTAACTTTGTAATCCAATCATATACAACATGAGTATTACATCTTTTGCCTTTTTGTCTTTGAAATTTGGATCCATGAGATTTTAGTCATAACAAAAAAAAAAAAAAAGCAGGACCAGATATTTGAACAGTGCTGCTCCTAACTTTTACTGTCTGGCTCATACTTGATGGCAAGCATTTGATGAATTAGGGCTTGTATTTCCAGGGCTTAGCACAACCCTCACATACAGTAATATGGTAAAAATGGGAGACTGACATAAAATGAAACTATTTCTTACAGTTTTTTATAAGGTTCTACATGAGGAATTTTTAATATTTTCAGTGGAGAAAATATTTAGGTGAATAAAGATTTATTCATTTTATTTTTTTTCTATGAAAAGGCATTTTTTATTATTTTACTATATAACATATTAGTAAATACACCAGACCACATTTTCTCAATGCCAAATGTGGCACAGGATTATATTTCTCTTTGATCCTCCAGAGACCTCAGTGTCATCTGTCTTTTGGAGGGTTCAGTTTCTTACGACGTCTGTGATACTGTCCACAAGGATACCAGCAATGCTTAGTGGTAAAGAACATTTTGCTAAGTTGTTCTATTATGGGTCCTTGTTCAAGGTGTTCACCTGTTTCTTCTAATTTGGTTTTCAGCACTTGATCATGTGTTTCTTTATTATTATGCACAGGACCTGGTCGAGGGGTAGGTTTTGTGTGTTCATATGGGATGTCCACAGAAGGGTGATAGCATACTATTGTCCTGCCATCAGATGTCAAAGCCAGCTCTACTTTGCAATTATAGTCATCTGGAAGAGAAGAATACATAGACTTATGACAAATGCAAGATAAAGCTCCGTTTTGGTATGGAAAGAAATGCTTCAAGATAGTTCTCTTTGATATCACCCATTTTACTGCTGCTGCCATGTTGTATCAAGATGCTTTATTAGGTGGAATGAAAAAGATATTGTGAAGAGAAACTGCCTTTAAAATCTGCTTCTAAGCACACTGATTTTCATACCGCGAGCCCGCCATCTTGCCCCAATCCCCATTTTATTTTTTTAAAAAGCAGTTGATAGCAAAATGTGTTTCCAAAATTTACTTTTATTTTTAATTTTACGTTAAATATAATCAAATTAGAGTTCTATACTAGTGATAACCTGCATGCTTTCCCAGGTAACTACTGGCTCATGATCTTGAGCAGTTTTCTCCAAGCCTTAGTTTTTTCATCCGTAAAATGAGAAAAAAACAAAACAAAAAAAAGGCACTTAAAAGCTTTCCATGGGAAAATGTATTGACAACTGCAATTTATTCTGTGATGCATAAAAGACTAATGGATGAGTAGAGGACTGTATTAAGCAAGTAAAGTAAAAAGCTATAAAAATAATCTTTAGTGAATGTACCTCCACCATCACAAAAAATAAAAATCTGCTCACTCTACCTGGCCTCCAGTCTCTCCTACTCCCAGAAAGGTACCACCACCCACCCAGTTGTTCAAAGCAAAAATCTACACATTATCCTCAAGTCCTCTCCTTCCTTTCCTACAACAATCAGCGAGGCCTGTCAGCTCCTCTTGCAAAACTTAATTTCAAATCTAGCAATCACTT